ATAGTCGAGACCGCATCCACCGCAGCCCACATCGGCTTTAGTCAGCTGACATGCCGATGCCTAGGGCCTAGCAGTGAAGCTGCGTTGTCAACTCGGAGTCTGCACGAATCTAGCTCTGATCTGAAGAAGACATGCAGAATGCGCAGAAAATGCAGACTGCTATGCTGTCGTCTGCCGCCGGGCACAATCCTTGGACGGTCCAGTGCTGGAATGCAAGAAGCTTGTCACCACCGCAACACACGCTCAATGCGCTACCAAGCACCTGATGGCGCACCGATGCGGCTGCGACTCTTTTGGCCAAGTATCCGAATCCCTGTCCTAAGCAGAGCTTCGCCCCCGTGGCCATCCGTGGCCTGCTCCGCAATGTCTCGTGGCGATCGTGGCATCAGAGAGCGAGGGGGAATAACGAAAGAAGGTCTGCTTTTGAGGCGCTTCAGCAGATGAATTGCTTTCTGGTTGAGTTTTGATGCGCTACATTGCACTACGCGTGAATACCAGGGACCAGAGCATCCGCAGCATGTACTGATCCAAATGAGTGATTTGGCGCTCTTTTTGAGAGCAGAGTCAGCAGCGGGGCCACAGAGAATCTGAAGGGCAGTGAAGCTCTTCCGTGACATAGATTTAACAGCAGTGGACGACTGAATGCCATCCTATCAGAGGCTGCGCCTCAAAAAGCCACCGTGATTGCATGGCGAAGACCATGGCTTACCATACCATACAATACGTTTGGCTTAAGACGGCCTGACCTCGGAACTTAGAGCACAAAGCGCTTTGGCACATATAAGCAATAGCATCATGAACCTTCTGTGAATTCCTCGGCCTCTGCGTGCACGTCCTTCCAGGCCATGGCTCATGCTTCTCAAGCATGATCAGCCCAGACAAGGCATGTGCAAGAGGTTCACGTTGTACTTATTGTACTTATACTCAGCTCTCCCGTCCAAGATGTCCTAGATGTGCAAGGCTCCCACGTGGGTGATTGGAAAATCGGCTAGCCTGCGAAGGTGGCATTAGGGCTGCCCTCTCCGAAGGCACGCCTCACGGCGCGTTCATGTCCATGAAGTTCCGGCTACGTGCCCCTGCTCGACAGCTCTCTGCCCGGTTTTCGTACTTGCAAATGCACGAGATGAAGTGATGTCGGCCGGGGTCTCCTCCACCTTTGACATTGAGGCTGACAGTTCATGTTGCCTGTACTTGTTGCCCACTGTGTCCAGCGAGCTGTCTTCCCGTGCCCAGTCTTTCGAGTTCACATGGCAAGGTGAGGCCGTCCCTTGCGCCACGTCGTTGGCCTGTACAGTATAGGTCCAAGACGTGCAGCGCAGCGGCCTTGTGAGGTGTTGAGCACTGCAGGCCATGTGGTCTGAACCCTCTTAGGTGGTGAACGCACAGAATGATTGCAGCGGCCAAAGCTGTGTCTTTGACTGCCTTGCAGTTTCCACCAAATTTGTGGAGCCCCGGTTCGCAGTCCAGTGCTGGCGGCTGGACAATTTTGCGCAGGGTCGCGCTGTGGTTCCTGTGCCTGCCCATGCCAAAGGCACGCGTTCTATGTCGATGAAGTGCCGGCTACATGCCCCTGTTCAACAGCTCTCTGCCCGGTATTCGTAATTGCACATGAACGAGATGCAGTGATGTCGGCCGGGGTCTCCTTCGCATTTGACATTGAGGCTGACACTCACTGACAGTTCATGTTGCCTGTACTTGCTGCCCTCTATGTCCGACGAGCTGTCCTGCCGTGCCCAGTTTTTCGAGTTGACATGGCAAGGCGAGGCGGGATGGGTCGCTCTGTGTCCCTCGTCCATGTCTCCTGCTTGTGGCACGTCCGCTTCTGTACATGAGGGTCGAGACCGGTGGAGGTCAAACACCGCGGCCCCTGCGAGGTGAGCACAGAAGCCTTCGGGCCAAAGCCCTCAGCGAAGGCATGAATGAGTGCCTTCCAGACCTGTGCGAATTTGACTGCGCCGTGGCTTCCCGTGGAAGCCTTGGATCCCGCCCCATTGTGTCTCGGGCTGCTCACCTTTCCCGCAGATCCCAGACCGATTGAGACCCAGACCGATCTCCAGGCAGTGGCAAACTGCGCCGGTTCCGGATTGGCGCGCCAAGTTTTGCTCTCTCTGCACCTCGGCTGTGACTAAGGTGACGAAGGTGACGAAGGTGACAAAGGTGACGAAAGCTCGCAGGATCTTTGAACACGGGGGATGTGTGGTGCGATGCTGGAGGTCTGCTTGCACCGCCCCAGCTCACAGGACGGCTTGCCTTCGTTGGCAGCCATTCGTTGACTGGGCGGTGGTTTCGACCGTCCCAACCTAGTAGCCTGGTTTGGGTGGATGTGTTGTGGGTGATGTGTCGTGAGGAGCTTGCTCCTCGGCCAGTGTGCCAGATCATGGTTCGGCCCAGCCTCAAACATTATCGCAACAGTCTCCCCGAACATGTTGTCACTTGTCCACTCAAGGCCGCTAGCTTGGCTTGCAGGGCGTGCGACAAGGAGTTTGCAGTCCACAAGCTTTTTTTGAGAGTGGCACGCCAGGCTGGGCTGCGACTGCGTCGCGACAAGCCGCTGGTACTGGTGGTGCGAAAGTTGTCAGCCAGGTCGCGGTGCACAACACCTCTCCGGATATCGTGTCCCTGCACAGAACTGCCCTCCTGCTGCGGAGTGCACGGTGTTCTTGCTGGGACTCCTGGGCGGCATAGGGTCCTGAACCGCAGGTGCCGCTTGAAGCCTGGTCCCGCAAGGCGACGTGTCCAGGGTTGAATGTCGAAGGTCCTGCGCGACGTGTAAGAATGTGCCGTGCACTTCGTGACGAAGTGGCCCGGCCGGCCCGGCTGTCCTGAAGTTGCGCATGATCCTGGCGCCTGCCCAGAGGTTGATGTCACGGGCAAGGCATGCTGTCCTGCGCTTGAGTCCATGTCAAAGATCTGCGGCTGCTCGCCAGATCGCCGCGCGCACGCCGCTGAGCATTTCTTCTGAAAGTGTCTTGAGCCCACTGCAAGGTTGCGACTTTTAGGGTTTCGGGTGTAGCTTATCGGGCTTTGAAAAGGCTAAGAGCAACTTGTAGAGCAACTTGTAAAGCAACCATCATGGGTTCTAGGTTCTTTCTAGGTTCTATGATTGAAAGAGACCGAATTCTGGCCAAAGCTGCCAGGCCCTGCGAGCTTGCACTGCTTAAGCAGCACTGCTTAAGCAGTGCTTCAAGCACCGACTGCACCACGCTTTGAACTCCAGCTGAGTTCCGCCTTGGTGCCTCTTGTGAGGAGGAGGCGGTGCCGGAGAAGGCTGCCCAGAGGCCCTGAGCGCAAGAGCTACGGCAAGAGGTTTTTTGGACTGCAACTTGGACTGCAAGGTCCCAAAAACCAACGCGGTCCTCAGCTGGAGCGTCGATCCTTTCCCGCGTGTGTTTTAGCAATTTTAGCAGCTTGAAGATGCTTGAAGCTTGGGTCTTATCAAGGATGTGACGTCGTGTCCAGTCGAAAGTCCTCATGCGCAGCCCGTACGAATGTGCCGACCATGCACTCGACGCTGGCAGATTTCACGAAGCTTTGCTGCGAACCCCTACCTTGGCACAATCCAACACCACGGATTCTTAGGCTGCATCGGTGGTTCCATGGCTGTCACAAGCTTTTTATCCACTCATTCTTGCCGGGAACTAAGGAGACTTCCCTGTTCTCAGCCTTGGAAGCTGTTGGAGGCTTCCGGCGGAACTCGCTTGTAACTCGGCGAGGTCATGTAGCGTATGCAGTTTCAGGCTTGTAAGATGCCAGATCATATGCAGATCATATTGGGCACCTAGGGTGTATGTCGGACAGCAGCTCGCAACTTCTGGAGTGGAAGTGGGACAGATCAGATTAAGTTTTAGTGCACAGCTGATGTTTTAGAAGAGAACTGTGACTGTGAGCCTGATGTTTGTCAAGTAGCAGCACATCGCACACAGGTACACACCGCATCTTGGCATCTTGCAGCCGCCCACGACCTTCACAACCGATGCGGTCTCGGAGCGCCACTTTGCCGAAAGTGTTGTTAACAATGAACCTAGAATGTGCAACCTCTTGAATGCCCTGCAAGGAGATGAGGTGACGGACGTGCGGAACCGTCGGCCCCGCTCAAGGATCTGAGTGTCCGCTCAAGGCTCTGCCGCTGAGAGGCTCGTCATGGAAAAGATGCGGCGCGGTTGCCAGCTGCCTTAGTTCTGTGCAGGGCGTAGATGGTCAGGGCTTAGGGCCTTTGGTGTAATGTTAGGCTTTTGGGTCTTATAAGCGGGTGGGCAGGAGTGGCATTCCACGCGGGGGACTACTGTATATGTCTTGCAGTATGTTTTACATTCGTGAGGTCATTGTTTTCAGAGTCTTTGTGCAGGAATGCTCTCTCTCTCTCTCTCTCTCGCTCTCTCTCTTTCTCTCTCCATATACATACACACAACTTGTGTTATTATTTTGCGCATTCTTGTTTTTCTTATTGTTCTCAAGGTTATTGTCATTGTTCTTAAAACTGCGATATTAGAGTAATCAACACCATCACTATCTAGCTGGCGAATTTTACCTATGATAAATCTTGCCTCATCAAGTTCACTAACAGCAGAATAAAGGTCCACTTTGTCGCCATCTTCAGCTGCTGATCATGGCTCTTTTGACATCCTGTTATCATTGTTTTCAAATCTCGCAGAGGCAGCCGCGTTGATAGTTGCAACAGGAGTTCTCTTAAGAATGAGGCTCTCATTCAACCCTGTGTAGATGGTAAGGTTTTGCTGGAACAAGTTTGTCCTGAGAGAAACGCACCCTAGCGATGCCGTTTCACTAGATGCCCAAAGTAACTAGCTTTTCTACGCCGAAGTAGCCGGAATGACTCGAACGAACCTGTTACTACGGCCCGAAGCAACTTGTAGACCAGCTATTCGTTTGTCTGAGTTTTTGACCTGCTGCTAGAGGAAGCCCCTCAACAATGCCCGATTTGTGGGCTTGGACACGGGGCTTCGTTTCCGGAATGTGTATGCTCGAGCATCACCACTACCTTGATGTCGGTGCTGGTTTCTGCGCCCTGGCCCGCAGATGATGCGGTGTGGGGATGAGGCTTAGGGCCTAGGGAAAAGGGTGCAAATGATGTTTGCATTTTGTGGCCTTCGTGTTCGACAGACTAGAAGCACTGCTTCCAAACAGCCTAGGTGAGTCCTCTTCGAGGTTTTGGAGGCATGTGGCATGTCAAAGCTTGCTTGCCGTGCGTGCTGCCTTTTGTCTTGGCTTGGATGCTGGCTCTTCAAGGCTGCAAGGACAACGTCGATCATGTCCAAGGCGATGGCTCAGGAGGGACCATCAGGAATCTGCACAGTGTGGGAGGTCTCGGTCCCTTGAAAAGCCGGAATTGGACCAGTAGCAACCTGAGCAACGTGGCAGTTGCCGGCAGCAACTCGGGCGATGCCACAACTGCTGGCCGGACGGCCTTGCTGGAGCCCAGCATGTCGCAAGCTGCACAAAGTAGCGCCAATGCTTCCTCCCAAGAGGCCTCCTTTCCTCTGGCAGCCACGTTCTGGTCCCTCGGTGCGCGGCTGTTGATGGCCGTGGTACCAGAGGCTTCCAATGGCAGCTTGCTGCAGGAACAGATGCTCATGGTTGACACCGGATCTTCCACGCTCGTCTTTTGCCAGAGCACTTTGCTCCAAGAAGCCGCCTACCAGGAAACGCCCTACATCTCTTGCAATCGCTACAACCCCGGTGGTGCTCCTATGGAGTATTGGGGCCCCTTTGTCACAGGGAACGTCCATGCAGGCAACGTGACCTTCCAGGATGCCACTTACAGCATCATGGCGGAGGAAGAGGGCATGTCTTGCCAGGACGGCATCCAGGGAATCTTCGGCATCGCCTTCCAGCAGTTGGATGCTGCTGAGCTGCCTCTAAAGGTTGTCCCAGAATGAACACGAAAACACAGCTCTCGCATGCGCCGTGGGTCTAAGCAACGTTAAGAAAGAGCGATCCCCGGTAGTTCCTTTTGCCACCCCCGAGCAGAGCTCCAGAGGGCCCCTCTGCCTTGCAGAAACCTTGCTTTCTGCGGCGCTTTCTGCTTGGGCTGCTTTGGCCTCTGGCGGCGATCCAGTTAGCTGACAGACGCAGCTCAGGGGGTAGCGGGATCAGTAGCACTGTTCCTTTCCAAGGGTTCGGATTGACGGGTGAAGGTCTCCCTGTGAGCGCTTTCCTTCTTCTAGACACCTTTCTTCAAGATTCGCTTTCTTGGAAACGAGCCAGGCTGCCTATCCTGTGACGCCTGGCTTCACGATGGCAGATTGTCCGGAGGGGCTGCCGCCGCCCACGAGCAAGAAGCTGCCCTCGCCCATGGTCAAGTTGGGAGCCCAAGGCGGGAGATGTTTTTTTTGGTCCAGCCCCAAACCCTCACAAAACCCCGCAATCCCCCGCGAAACCGCCTGAACCCCAAAACGCCCCAAAACGGCCCGAACCCACGAAGCAGGTTCTCAACCCCAAAACCCCTCGAAGCAGGTGGTGTGGAGAAGCTGGGCATCCACTGGTCCGGGCACCTGGGAGAAAACCAGGGCATGCTCTATCTCGACGATGCTGCCGTAACCAACGAGCTTCTTGTTCCTCTCAGCAGGGTTTAGGGCTGTTTAGGGTTTTCACTTGAGGGTGAAGGGTTTGAGGGCTGTAGGCTTTCAGGTTTTTAGGGTTTAGGGTGTCGGGGCTTGCGCAAGTTTCCAAGGGCTGAGATGATTGTCAGCATGGCTTGGCCTAGGCACTACGACGCGTCCTCGCTGGTGGGCCCGGCAGTTCTGGGGGAGATGGGCTGGTATGATGTGGCGGTTCAGAAGATCTCCGTGGGTGACCAGGAGTTCACAGGCTTCGGTTGCGCCCCGAGGCCTGGCAAGGCGTGCGTCATGGCGACCGGGCTGCATGTAGAATCGCGTTATGCGGTAATGAGGCAGCACTTGTAAGAGATATTATGAGGTACATGAGGTACATGAGGTACATGAGGTACATGAGGTACATGAGGTACGTCTACTTGTAGAGTGTTTTTGGGAGGACACAGGGACCCCGGCCGTGACGGTGCCGCCGAAAGTCTTTGACTCTGCCGCCCAGCTCGTCAAATCCGGAGGGTCCGCGAACCTCACCTTCTGGCTGCCTGGCGTCGCTGGGGAGGCTGTGGCGCTCAGCTTCGATGTGGCTACGCTCTTTGAGATGGCGGGACTCTTCAAAGCCCGCGAGGGAGAGAATGTCATCCTTGGACTATCAATGTGGGCCTTCTACTACACTGTCTTCGACGTAACCGATCAGTCCGTCTCCTTCATCCCACAACAACCAGGCACGGCAGCCTCACGAAGGGCCATTCTTCATAAAGTCTTGGCCGAGGAAAGGGCGATGGGTTTACTGGGACATGGCGGGCGCCGGATGGAGGAGCTGCCAATTCACGTGTGACGCCATGACAACACATGACAACACACATCTTCCTAGTGCGCGTTTGATTTTAAGGCCTTTCGTGTGCAGTCGAGTCATATCAAACGCATCTACATCAAATGCACTTTCAATGACATTCGTGCACTCGCCTTTGTACAGTCCATGAGGCGCTCTTTTGTTGCGACTTTGCCCAGACTGCGTCGGCAAGCTGTACAGAGTCAAAGACGCTCAATGAAAAGTAGCGGGCATGCTTTTTTCTGCGTTTAGGGTCCTTGGGGTCCTCAAAGGTTTATGGATGCAACGGGTTTTGTTTGGAAGCCCCACAATGGCGAAACAATGTTCAGAATGGTTTGTTCAACTGGTCTCCATGAAACAACCTGGCCGAAAGGCCGAGACACCTAGAAGAATATTCTTCATTTCTCTTCATATCATACCGGCGTGAATTGTGGATCTGATTTTTTTCGTAATATTTCTCTCTCTTAGTTACTCTCTTCTTTTCTGGCATTTTTTCTCTTCAATTGGGATTCATTTCATTTGAGCGTGTCACGGTGTTGATTCATTTCATTTTGGAATTTCATTAATGATTTTTCGTTTATATTGGATGATTTTGGGG